GCTTTGGTAGTTAATACATCTCTGGCCCTTTTCCTGTGGCAGGGCTGACAGTCTTGTCTTCTGCAGTAGCTTGCGTCCTCCGGCCAGCTCCTTTGCTGCTGTTCTTGCTGTTGTACTCTAGGCTGGAAGCTCTAGAGCATGTCTTCCACTGCTGTTTCTAGGCCACCCCTCTGCCCGTGATAGAAGTTAGGAGCAGTCTGGGAGGGCGGTGGCTGGAAGGATGGCTAGGCAGTTAAGAGCATGTACTGCTTTTGCAGAGGATTTGAGTTTGTAGCCAGAGACTGCTTATTTGCTTCCCAGCCGTCCAGCCCAAATAAACACACAAACTATATTAATTTGGCCTGTTAGCTCAGGCTTCTTATTAACTAACTCTTACAACTTAAATCAACCCATTTCTATTAATCTGTGTATTGCCATGAGGTTATGGCCTACCTGTAAGGTTCTGGCATCATGGTCTTTCTTCTTTTGCAACTATATGATATCTCCTTGACTCCGCCTACCTTCTCTCTATATTGCCATTCAGATTTCCCGCCTGACTTTATTCTGTTGTTAGCCATTGGCCGAAATAGCCTCTTTATTAACCAATGGTAATAAAACATATTCATAGCATGCAAAGGGGAATCCCGCATCATGAGTTCAGTTCTTAGCACCCATGTGGATTCAGTGCCCTCTTTTGCAGAAGGCACCTGCACTCATGTACACGGGGGGGGGGGGGGGTAGGAGAAAGGAAGGAGTGGGGAGGAGGAAGAAGGAAGAAAGGGACAGTGTCCTGTGTGAGGTCGTTGAAAAGAAGACCGAGAATGACTGACAGCTGAGTTGTCTGGGACCAGAACCTCTTGTCTGTAAGCAGGTAGTGTGGAGCTCAGACACAAGACATGCTTTCAGTGGCTACACCTTTATTACTAAACTGTGGACTGCTAAGTGGTCCTTTTGACTTTGTGGACAAATTAGTAACTTCTCAAGAATGAGTGGGAGGTTATCACTATCTTTCCTACCCTCTCTCAGCTCTGGGGAATAGTAAGCTGTTGCCCATGGTTCTTTTTTGTCCTTCCAAGCTTGCATCCGCGTTGGCTTCTGCTTTTCTGGTGCTCTGAAGGGTATTGGTGCTCTCAAGGTTGCCTTCTGATCTGAGCCTTACAATACTTACTACCAGAGGGTGTTGAATGAGAATATTCCTGAGTCTTGTACTAGTTCATTTACAAAACCTTTTCTTGGTGACCAGAGCTGCTGGGTGAGCCTCTGTCCTTTTCTGCTTCTGAGTTTGATGCCAGAAAGCAAGTGCACATCACTTTTCTTTCCACCCACTCAGTTTCTCTCTCCATCAGCTCTCCTGTACCCTAATTCATTGCTCTGTTTACAGCGATGCTCTTACCTGTTTGAACTTCTGTCCTCACTCTTTTCACACCTTTGTGAATCTGATAGTTGATGTTTTTCACTTTCTCACTGACTAGACCTGTAAAGGCCAAGGGACAGGCATGCTCCCTGAAGCCATGACCTGTCAAATGCAAGTAATGCGTCTATTTGCATTTAGTATTTGCTGCATTTCTCTGTTAGGAAGAAATGACATTTTTGCTTGCTTAATGAGGAGTGAAGGTCAGTATTTTCAGAAATAGCTGTGTGATTCTCAAGAGAAAACACTTTTTTTTGGCAATGAAATATGCTCTCCAGATATTTTGGAAAAATTGAAACTCAAAATAAGATAGAAATGTAATAGTTTGGGGTTAAAAGTTATCTCAAATATTCTGACTAGCATTTTTGAAAACATGTTTTTTTTATTTGAAGTTTTAAGTTTTCAATGTATAAAAATGTATAATATTCCAAAGAGATATCTACTGGTAAAAAGTAGAAGAGGAATTTAAAAATAATGATGGAGGTAATTCCAGTTTTACTATGTATACACTTATTTCATAATTTTATTTTGCTTTATTTTTATTTAATTGGATTGGGCAGGCTTTGATTGGAAACCCACTTGTAATTGAGACAATTAAAATATAATTGAAGTCAAATAAATTCATATTTCCAAAAGGATTCTTACCTAATTATAATATGTATATAATTACAGTTTTTAACCACAGTTAGAAAAGTATTCACACATTTGGTAATGTTTGTTTCATAGCATATATTCCTTTGAGTACCATAATTAATGCTCATTTGTATACATACTAAAATTTCAAGTTTATTATAAATGTATTAAATTTGCTTTTCTTTCCAATGACAACAGTGTTGTTCTATAGAGGAGCTTTATTAACTGCACATTTATTTATTATTTGTCTTAAAGGAGGCCTCGTTGGAAACTCATATTTAGTCTGCCGTATTCCCTTTTGCTTCTAATAACATTTTAGAAATAAAAGTAACTTTTCTTTTGCTGTAAAATATTTGTCATCTCCTGTACCCCAGATTTATTGGACTGTGGTAGCATTGAGTGGCTTTTGGCTGGAATGTTTATTATGACATCATTGCAATCTGATGCAGGCTGTGATTTCAGATGGTTTCAGTGTTAAATATTTTCATAATTATGCTAGTTTTGGCTGTTCACGTAAGACTTTTTTTCACATCTCCTTAATGAACGTGTTTTACTTCTGGGCCTTTGAGGCAAACATGTTTCAAAACTGAATGTGCTTTTAATGTTAATATTGTGCAGAGTATCTAACTGGACTTTTTAAGGTCGTTCCTTGAACGAAGGGTAATTACAGTGAAGTTCTGCTCATAGCAGTCTTAGCATTTGAGGACTGAAGCGTAGTCACAACTAACAGAAGATGGCATTGGAAAGATTGAATTATGATGTTGTTTTGTGGAATGAAACACTCTGGAATTGTTATGTGTTATCTTAAAAAATGAACAAAAGTTTAGGCAGATTGCCTTTGTTTATGATGTCAAATTTGGTTTTTGCTTATATGAGGTTTCAGGCAATATTTTCCCGTATGTGCCACCAGCATCTGAAGTTATGCTGCATTGTAAAAGACTCAGCTTTTATTAGGATATATTTCTCTTGCATTATTAAATAAGGGCTTTTCTCTTCTTGTTGAATGTATGTGTGTGTTATGCTTACATATATATGTATTGTGTATATGGTTCACATGTGGGTGGGTGTTTGGTACATATGTATGCACACTTGTGGAGCCCAGATGTTAATGCCAGATGCCTTCCTTTGTTGCTTTAGTCTTTATTTAATGAGGCCGGGTCTCTTGCTAAACCTGGAGCTTGCTGATTCTGCTAGTTTGGCCTTTCAGCTCGCCCTGCTGACCCTGTCTCTACTTCTTGCATACTGAGATTAAGTAGACTGCTGCTCCTAACTCTTGAGTAGGTGCTGGGAATGCAGACTCTTGTCCTCACACTTGGGCGGCAAGTGTTCTATCCATGCCGCATATAACCCAGCCCCGAAGTTTTATTTTATATAGTTTTGAGATTTTATTTATTTTAATTTTATGTGTATGGATGTTTTCTTCTTTATCATATGCACGCTTGGTGCCTCCAGAGTTTAAAAGAAGGTGTCGGCTCCCTTGGAACTGGAGTTACAGACAGTTGTGAGCTTCCATGTGGGTGTCCAGGTCCCCTGCAAAAGCAGCCCAATGCTGTTATTTGCTGAGTCATCTATTTAGTCCCTGAATTTCAGTTTTGAAAGAAGGTCTTCATGTCTTTTATTTACTCCTACTACAAATTATATCAGCATATTTAGTAATTATTTGTGTGTATATGTGTGAAATAAAAACTAAATCTCTCCCATTGTAAATGCCAATGTAATTACTGAGTGGGGAGTGAAGGTTGGAGGTCACCATCCACCCTCTGTGTTGGTGTTCCTCACTGCACGTTTGCATGTCGCCTTAAGTTGAGCCTTTGTTCTTAGAGAATAGTGCATTGACAATTGTGCTTACCTTAATATTCTGTCTTTTCTCTTTTCATACCTGTTTTTATTTTACATTTAATTAAATTTGTGTATGTTTATGTGCATGTATGTTTTAAGGTGTAACTTACCTTGTTTTTCTAAATAGAATGACTCTATCTTCCTATTAAAGAAGGAAAGAAGGAAGGAAGAAAGGAAGAAAGAGAGGGAGGGAGGGGGAGAAAGAGGGCGGGGGGGGGGAGAGGGAGGGAGGGGGAGAGGGAGGAGGAGGGAGGGAGAGAAGGAAGAAAGAAAAAGGAAGTACTGCTTGGAACTAGCTAATGTTTTTGATTTGTGAACTTCTTGAGGACAGGTGTAACTAATTTATCTCAGGAAATAAGTCCACCAATGAAGACATGACTATTTTATAAATGTTGATTTAGTACATGAAAATTATACTCACTTGTATTTTATAAAAAAGATAATTAAAAATGTACAATTTATGTTTTTATGTATCCATATCAAACCCATGTAAACTTTATATTTACTACTAATAGTAAGTATTGTTAAATAGTATGCAAAGATTGTAAGACATAAATAGTTAGAGATAACTAAGATGACTGCTTGGATTCTAAATAATGAGAATTTTAACATAGAAGCCATAGAACAGAACATTAATTTCCTTTCCATTTATTTTGTGTTTAGATATGGAAATCATTAAAACATTTTCCTGAATAGTCATATAGGTTTGTAAAGCCATAAATAAGACATCTTTGGATAGTGCCAGGTAATTTGTTTTGGAGGTAGCTAAAGAAAGAAGTGTTAAAGCAGTTAGTGTATGTGCGTGATGTGTGCACTGCCTGTGTGGCCCGAAGCCGGAGCTGCATGGTCTGTCATTCTCCACCATATGCGTCTAGACCTGGAGCTTGTAGGCTCTGGGTCGGTCTGTGCAGGGCTTACAGGTGTGTGCAGGCTGGGATCCGCAGTCCCTCTGCCCAGGCCTTAAATTAGTTATTGTTAAGTACTGTTTGCAAATGTATAATTTAAAATTGGTTACATAAATTTTGAGAGCTAAAATTTGGAAAGCCTGACTTTTAGTAATTTTAAATCCATATGCTGACCAAAATTTCCTAGTCCTTGAATGTGACCAATGTTTCTTTTTCCTTTAAAACAAAAATAGGATGAGCATGAAAGCTGTGGTTCCAACTCTACCAACCGAAGTCCTGCTGAAAACACAAAATCATCCGTCAAACCCGGAAGAATTCAGCAGACTGCTCCTACAGACCCTGATTTGCCACCAGGTAACTTCACGTTGAGATTACTGTTGTTACTGACCATGTGTTAGTGTTTGTAGAATATATATTTTCTGTCTTATTTGCTGCCATAAAATGTTTAGGTCATATGCACATGTGCTTTGCCATATGACTTGAACATGCTGGGTCCAGAGCCCTCACAGATGGCTCCTAGTCAGACTTGGTCTGTCCTTTGTGGCTGTAGTCAAAGCCTCTCCCAGCAGAGCCTCAGGGTTTTCTTGCCTTGCTTTGTGCTAAGAGCCAAGAGAAGGCACTGGGTCACTGTGTTACTGGATGCCAAATTACCAGGGAGATGATAGGATATTGTGGCTGTAGCTGAAAGATACCATAGATGCAACCTGTTTTATTTCCTGATGTCTTTATTCATCCAAGATGGTATGAATTGCAAACAAACACTTCCTAGGCAAACATTTAATGACTTCTCGAATTTTGCAGGCAAATGGATGGAAATAGAAAACACTATCCTGAGTGAGGTGTCCCAGACCCAAAAAGATGAACATGGGATGTACTCGCTCATAATTGGTTTCTAGCCATAAATTAGCGCCACGGAGTCTACAATAGGTGAACCTAAAGAAGCTAAGTAAGAAGGTGAACCCAAGGAAAAACATATAGTTATCCTCTTGGCTAAGGGAAGTAGACCCAATTGCCGGGGAGAAAATTAGGATCTTGGGGGTGGGGTGGGATGGGGGTAAGGGGAGATGGGGAGAGAAAAGGTAGAAGGGAAGGAGGGGGGATTTGGGGAATCAGGAGAATTGGGATAAAGGAAAGGTGGATAGGGGAGCACGGAACCTCAATTCTTAGTTAAGGGAACCACTTTAGGGTGAGCAAGAGATTTGACCCTAGAGGGGCTCCCAAGTGCCCAACATGAGGTTCCCAGTTAGTTCCTTGGGTAGCTGAGGATTGGGAACCTGAAATGACCCTATCCGAGAGCAATACTGACGAATATCTTGCATATCATCATAGAACCTTCATCTGGTGATGGATGGAGACAGAGACAGACCCACACTGGAGCACTGGACTGAGCTCCCAAGGTCCCAATGAGGAGCAGAAGGAGGGAGAACATGAGCAAAGAAGTCGGGACCACGAGGCGTGCACCCACCCACTGAGACAGTGGAGCTGATCTACTGGGAGCTCACCAAGGCCAGCTGGACTGTGACCGAAAAAGCATGGGATAAAACCGGACTCTCTGAACATGGCGAACAATGAGGGCTGATGAGACGCCAAGGACAATGGCACGGGGTTTTGATCCTACTTAATGTGCTGGCTTTGTGGAAGCCTAGCCAGTTTGGATGTTCACCTTCCTAGATATGGACGGAGGGGGGAGGACCTAGGACTTACCACAGGGCAGGGAACCTGGACTGCTCTGTGGACTGGAGAGGGAGGGGGAGAGGAGTGGGGGGAGGGGTAGAAGGGTGGGAGGAGGGGGAGAAGGGTGGGAGGAGGGGGAGGGAAATGGGAGGCTGGGAGGAGGTGGAAACTTGTTTTTTGTTTATGTTTTTTTTTTCTTCTTTTCTTAATAAAAAAAAATTATTTAAAAAAAAAAAAAGAAAAAAAAAAAAAAAAAAAAAAAAAAAGAAAGATCATTACCTGCTAGCGTTGTAGTCACATTGCTGCCTTTACAAGTAAGTTGTCAGTTACTTCTCTTTTGATTTTTAAATTTGATTAGTCATGTTTTTGTGTGTTGTAGTGGAGACTGGTGTGTATGCTTTATTGTGCTACATTGTAGGTTCTCTGCTAGTTTTGGTTCAGTTAACATCAGAGGAAAGAATTAGACACACCATTTTGTCAGCCCTGCCACTCTCAAATATGTGTTCAGAATTCCTGGTGCCCTTGAAGTGAGAGTCCTTTGCACGTCTATGGGCAGCTTGGTGCTGATGCTTGCTACACCTGTCTCACCAAGTGACTGTCTGGGCTAGAGAAGGAGCCACAAGATATTCCTCAATGTTTCCAGAAGTTTCTCAACTTCTTACTAATCACTCCTTTGGGAAAAATTGTCAAGTTAGACTGGTAGCTTATACTAATTTATTAAATGTGTAGCTTAATTTCTTCAAATTCGACAATGTATCTTATTAGAATTTCCAGCATCACTCATGGTGTATAAACTTGTTTCTTGCTCTTTCCCTGTCTCTCTTGCTTCCTCTTTTCCTATATCTTTCTTCTCTTCTGTCAGTTTAAGGGAAATTAAGTTTTTTTGCATATTTTGTTTTTCTTAAGAAAAACCCCAAAATCTTGTTATTTTTTTTTAACTTCAGATAGAACAATTTTAAGGCTGATTTGTGAACTTGGGTTCTAGATATTTAATGACTTTTTAGAGTCAGCATTAGGATTTAGACTGGTAAAGTTATGACAGTTGGGTAATTTTCAGTGTCATAAAAACAGCTGTGTTCTACGTGGGCAGCTTGAGGTAGTTTGTGGCTTAACATGTGCTTCCTGCCTGTCTGAGAAAAGCTAGGAAGTTGTTAAGCAGCAGCTAGATCCACTAGCTCCTCGAAGTCAGGACAGTTAATTTTTGCTAAAGGGGGAAAGAGAAGATTTGAGCATCTGATTGGGTAAGCTGACAGTGATCATTTATTCAAAGAATGACCTTTATTGCTATTATTCTGCCTTGTTTTTGTTTTTCAAAGTAGAGGTAGACTCCTGTTTCTAGCTTTCTTCGGGCAGAGGTATGTCTCTGTGGTTATAGTTTTTAAGTTGGAACATTTGTTTGGATTCGAAAATAATTTAAAACTTTAACATTTAAACATTTTTATGAATGTTTTGCCTGCATAGGATAGAAGAGGGCCTGGGACTGGAGTTACAAGATTTGGGCTGGGCTCCATTGGAGAGTAGCCAGTGCTCTTCACTATGGAACCACCCTGCCAGATCCTCCAGAAGTGATGTTTAAGGAAAGTTTTGGTGTTGTCAATATAGGCATTTTTCCCTGAATAAATAGCTTTCTAACAGGCAAAGAGTAAGAATCAGTATCTAGAACAGTCTTCCAGTTGTTTGTCTTGACCGATGATTAATTCATTAATAAAGCAGTTTATTGGGTCACAATAAGCATTTTAAAAAACAAATATCTCAGGATAGAAAACCTCAAGATAATAGTGTGTAGTAAATGTGAGATCTGAGGTGTGTGTGTGTGTGTGTGCATGCGTGTGTGCGTGTGCATGTGTGTGTGTGTGTGTTTGGGCTAGGGTTTGATGTCATTCTGACTGGGTGAAGGTCAGCATATGTATTTTCTTTAAGTCAATTATAGAGGTCCAAGAGCAGTCTTTTGTGGTGATGAGAGTCTTGAGTTCTAGGCTCAGATCCTCTGAGACACTGTTTTCCCTGTTCTTTGCATATTGTATTTTGTTGTTCTTGTTTGTTTTTCATCCCCCCCCCCCTTCTTTTCCTTTGCTGGGGATCAAACAAAGCTTTACACAGGTTAAGCAAACACTGTACCACTGAGGGCCGCACTAGCTCAGGTTTCTGTATTTTATTTTGGTGTAAGATGCGTCCATGTCTCCCTTCAGTTCTGTATTCTCTGAATTAGAGTTTGGCTTTTATTGAAGGATTTTTTTCTTTAAAATATTCTTAAAGAATATTGGTTCGACTTCAGTTAAGAGTCTATTAATTGACTTACACTTTTTTTTACAAAGTATTTTCTCTTAAATTTTCTACTTTATTTGTAAGCTAGGATGCTCAGAGATAAAATTTGTTTCACTATGTAGATGTAGTACAGACGCATTACAACTCACTCCCTCCCTCCCCCCCCTCTCTCTCTCTCACACACACACACACACACACACTTACACACACACACAAGTATTTAGGGTTTAGTTAACCTCAAAACTATGTATTCATTGGATCAGAAACTATATCTTAGTCATTTTTGATCATCAGTAGCATGATAGCAAGCAAACACTTCTGTGATAGGCCGCTAAGGCCACGTAAGCCGTGCTTTTGTCAGTCTTCTGAGAATATTGTGAAACCAAGCTACACATGATTAGTAAAGTAACGACTGTGGCTGTGTGCCAGTAAAACCGTGGTCCTGACAAATTTCCTATAGCCCATACCACCCTGTGGACCACCCTTTCTGACCACGATGCACATGATTATAAAGATGTAATTACTGATGATTTGAGTTCACATTTGCTGTTTTAAAGTCTTTTCTAAGATGTTTATGTTCCTGCCCTACCCATGCTTACTGTTTTTGGAGAGCTAAAGTAGCTGTCGCTCTGTGTGTGTTTGTAGGTTTTATGGCTGTGCTTGTTGGGAGAGATGGATGGAGCACTTAGAATTACACTTCTTAGACTTGGAGCCTCACTTTACTCTGCGGCCGCATGCACACACACATGCACTTTTTTTGGTTATTTGAAATTTTTCTTGGTCTATTAATAGCATTATTCCAGGACATTTACTATATTTTATAATTTTTTTAGGAAGATCAGTACTATATAGTAGAGTAGTAGTAGTTTTTCTATAGTTTGCTAAACTAATCTTTTATTCTTTAGTATGTTCTCATTTTCAGTTTTATAAAATAGTTTGGCATATAGGCAGATAAATCTTTGCATACATCTCTTTATTTCCTTAAAGGGATTCTTACTAATTTATAGAATTAAAAGATATAAATATGTAATATATACTATATTATATACAAATACATGTATATTTATGATATAATATATATAATATAAATAATATATTTATATAATATGTACATATTATATATAATATATGAATGATTTTAATTTTTTCAGTATAGGTGACAAAATTGTTTGACAATCCTTTATTACATCAAGGTTTTGATGCATTACTGTTTTTACTATTATAAATGTTCTATTGAAATTTTCAGGTGGAAAAATGCTATCTCATACATTTTATAGCTATATATAATTAATATTTTATCATATTTCTGTTTTGTCACTTTGTGTAAAAAAAGCTTAAAATATTCTATTAACATATTAATATACTATTTTCAGTTACTGCCCTTTGACTTTTTATATATAAAATACCATTAGTTTTGTAGGATTAAAAAGACTTATTTTTGTGTATGCATGCATGTGTGTGTCCACATTTGTGCTATAGTGCATGTATGGAGAACAGCTTGAAGTTGCTCTTTCCTCCCACATGTGGATCACCAGGTCAGCTTGCTAGGTTTCTGAGGCAAGTTCTTTTACGTCCTGGGTCATCTTGCTATCCTGTTCCTTTGTTCTTTATTTTCCTTCTTTCGCTTCTGGGTAGTCTAGGTATGTTCACACACATCCATTCGTGGTACAGGTATGTTCACACACACCCATTCGTGGTACAGGTATGTTCACACACACCCATTCGTGGTACAGGTATGTTCACACACACCCATTCGTGGTACAGGTATGTTCACACACACCCATTCGTGGTACAGGTATGTTCACACACAGTAGCCTGGGGTTAACACTGAACATTGTTTTTCTGTTGCTCACCACTTTATTTTCTATGGGACTCAGGGTCTCATATTTGAGTGGCAGGCACTTTCCTCACTGGAGCATCTCCTCAGCCGTGTATTCCCTCCCCCCACTTCCCCGGGACAGTGTCTCACCGTACAGCACTGATTGTAGACCCCAGAGATCAGCCTGCTGCTGTCCTCTGGCAGCTCTGTGCTCCGTAATGTTCTTTCAGCTGTCTCTCTGTCTTCTTGTGCACTCGTGTTTCTCCTCTACCATGTGTCCGTGTTCCACATTAGCGAGTCCTGAACCCGTGTTTCTCCTCTACCATGTGTCCGTGTTCCACGTTAGCGAGTCCTGAACCCGTGTTTCTCCTCTACCATGTGTCTTAGATATTGCTGTTCAAACACAGTCAGGGTGTAGTAACATTGCTGTATTTTAATTTGTTAATTGATTTTTGAGATCATTTCTTGTTATGAAGCCGTGGAACTCTGCTTTCTTCTGTCTCAGCCTCTAGGACAACTGGGAATGTAGGTATGTGACGCCATACCAACTGTTGACAAAACAGGCAGAAACCAGACAAAGTATGTCTGTAAAACAGTGATCCTTGTGTGGGATCTAGTGTTAACATTATTAAATATGGCTTCTGGATTAGTATATGTTCATGTTCATGTTTCCTTACAGTGTCTTTTAGTAAAAGTATATGTTGGGCTGTCTGCTAGTCTAGTTTATTTAAACTTTAATTTCATCTTTACAGAATATTCTAGCAATAGTCATCTTTTACATACTTTGTTTAGCAGCATTTTAAGAGTATTTGCAGACTTACAGCCAGCTAATTGAGCCCTTTCCTTACTTTGTAGGATACGTGCAGAGTCTGATTAGACGAGTTGTAAATAATGTAAACATTGTTATAAATAATCTAATACTGAAATATGTTGAAGATGATATCGTCCTTTCTGTCAACATCACTTCTGCTGAATGCTATACTGTGGATGAATTATGGGACCGTGCATTCATGGATATTTCTGGTGAGTAAATGTTAAGAAAATAGTGTTTGTGCATACTTATCTGTAAGTGATAAAATTGCATTCATTTCTTAACCTTTTTGGGTGTCTTTTTTTTTCTATTTTTTTTTTGAGACATGATTTCTCTGTGTAGCTTTGGAGCCTGCCCTGGAACTTGCTTTGTAGACCAGGCTGACCTCGAACTCAAAGAGATCCGCCTGTCTCTGCCTCCCAAAGGCTGGAATTAAAGTCGTGCGCCACCACCGCCCGGCGTTTTTTGGAGACCTTTTGGTAGCTGTAACATAAAGCATATGAAGTGGGAAAAGTGCACGTACACAAAAGTTAGCATATAACTATGGGAGGTTAAAGCAGTTGAAGAAACCATGAGACTGGCCTGGAGGGGTGGCTCAGCCATTAAGGGCTAGGCTTACAACCAAAAATATAAGAAACCATGAGATTGCTTTTGAAAATTAAAAATTTTTATTCTCTTTTACCTATCATATGATTTTTCAACTATGATACACAATATTTTACAGTATAATGAGTTATACCAATAAAAATTAAATTTGCTTTGTATTTTTATTGCTTTTTTAATGAAACAGAGCAAGAATATTGCCTTATATACCTTTATAGGAACATCTGGAAGTCTTTGATTGTCTTGAAGCTTTTGGCTATGGCTTGTCTCATTCTCTGCAGTGCTGACTGCAGTGGGTGTTGTCAGCCACGACTCTGCTGGACATCCACACTGCTCGTTAGTCAGAGGAGGGTCTAATTAATCAAATAATAAAATTGGCATATGTCTGATACATTTAGAAATGCGTCTCATTTTCCTTTTTTGCTCACAGTGGTTTTCTTTTTTCTTTTTTAAGCAACTGATCTGGTGCTGAGGAAGGTTATCAATTTTTCTGACTGTACAGTTGGTCTTGATAAAAGAAATGCCAGTGGTAAAATCGAATTTTACCAGGATCCTTTATTATACAAATGTTCTTTCAGAACTCGCCTTCATTTTACATATGATAACCGAAATTCCAAGATGCCATCTATTATTAAAGTGAGTATCTCTTTTTCTAGTAGTTTGCTTACATATCTTTATTTTGTTTATTGGTTCTTGTGCATTGTAATTATAAGGGAAAATCTCCAAAGTAAAAATGAACTTCATCAATATATGTACTATTTGGTTTTTATAAAAAGTTAAATATATTAGTTTTCATTTTGAATTTTTTGTATAATGTGTTCTGGTAGAGATATTTTGGAGGCAACCTCTTCTGCAGTGATGAATGTCCTTTTTGGTCTTGCTGGCTATTACTGGTCCTTACCTTGTTTACAGCCTGAGGATGTCATATGAAAACGCAGCCCAAGGCTCTGAGATTTCACTGCAGTACCACTCAAGAACTTAGCACAGCAGTAATCCGTATTTTAGTCCTTAAAATTTGCTTGGCCTTTTATAAGGCTTGAGATGACAGCCTAACCGTATACTTTAGCTTATTGGCTCAACAATTTTTGCTGCTGCTGTCGAGCTGGGTCTAACTCTGTGTCGCCCAGGGTATCCTGGAATTCATTATGTATCTCAGGCTGGCCCTAAATTAGTAGTAATTTTCCTGTCTTAGCTTCCTGCATGCTGAGCCACCATGAGTTACCACACTAGGGCAAGTATTAGCTTTTGATCCATAGTTTCAATATGTAAGTAAAGTTTTGGAGCACTGGAGCTTCCCAGGACGTGTCATGCTGTTGTTGTCTAAGGTGCTGTATCTGTGCGTGCAGCGTCTGTAAGCTTATGTCTTGTGTTTCATTACCCACCAGTTTTCCGAGCATTATCACATTTTATGGCTATGTCTGTATAAAAATAAGATTTTCTTTTAACATTACGTTTTAGTAAAACACTTTAATAAAAAATATAGATATCTTTTATTGAATCTTTGAAAACTGATTTCTAAGAATCCTGGAATTCTCAGCTTGAAGGGACCTTGGGGAACATGCATTTTAATATTCTTAATTTTCTGGATGTGGAATCCAAGGCCCAGATAAGTGATTAGGTTGATGTCATGTAAAAAATTGTGACCCTGGGGAAGAGTGCTGGACGACTGATTGCTGGCTTCGGGCTGCTGCAACAGGAGGCTCCACTCATGCACACACAAAATGACTCCTCCCTCATCATTATTATGTTCCTTTTTATTGAAAATAGATTTTTTTCTCATAAAATATATCCTGATTATGGTTTCCTTTCTAGTCCTCCAAGGGCCTCCCAACTCCACCCCCATCCAGATCCCCTCTGCTTTCTGTCTCTCATAAGAAAACAGCCTTCTAAGAGATAATAATAAAATAAAATATAATAAGATAATACAACTGATATCTCAGAATAGGACAAAACAAACAGAAGGAAAGGATCCCAAGGAAAGCACAAGGAGCACACTTAGGACTCTCTTAAAAACACTAACCTGGAAGCCATGATACACACCCAAGGGACCTTTGTATTCCGTGTTTTGTGTGTTCATGTGTGTGTTGGTCCTGTTGTTCCATTAGTGTTCTCCATCCTCTGGCTCTTATACTTTTCCACCTCCTCTTCTGCAGGGATCTCTGAGGGGAAGGATTTGGTGGAGACATCCATTTAGGGCTAGTGTTCCAAGGTCTCTCATTTTCTACATAATGCCTGGACCTGGGTCTCTGTATTTGTTCCGTCTGCTGCAGGAGTAAGCTTCTCTGATGATGGCTGAGCAAGACACTGGTCTCTGAGCACAGCAGAGTATCATTAGGAGTCATTTTATCGCCGCATTCTTTTAGTAGAATAGTAGTATTTGGTTTTCTCCTAGGTTGCAGGGCTATCTGTGGGTTACTCCACAAGCTCTGTTCCGCCATTGCACTAGCACAGCTTCCAGGGGGACACTATTGTGGATGAGAGGGATTTTAGCTGGGTTGGTGTTTGTATTTTTCCTTTGCAGCATTCAGAGTGCCTTCCTGCACCAAAACTGCTGGAATTTGGGGGTGAGGGGCTCTATGTTCACCAGCTGAACTTTTCCATGTTCAATGAGTTGTGTAGGTATTGTCTCAGCAATAGGGCCTTGCTAGTAAAGTACAGAAACACTGCCTACTTTATATTTATGTATGAAATTTTGTTTTTCCTTGAATAGGAATCAGTTATCTGAATTTTACTTTTATTTCCCACTGTGTTCAATCTGTATTGATTTATCTATATGTTAGTCTTTCCTTCTATATTTGAGTGTGTGTGTGTGTGTGTGTGTGTGTGTGTGTGTGTACAGGGGAAAGTGTTACTAAATAGTATTGGTATCTCTGTCTCAGAAAATAAACTTCTGTTCCTAGCCTTGGATTGGCTATTGAAACACATACACATGCTTTAGAACCTTGATTTGTATTCTAAGTGGACCTTGAATTTGTGATATCTTCCTGTTTTATCCTCTATAATATTTTGTATTATAGGCTTATATTGTATCATCATACCTGGCTCCAAAACATATTTTGAAATCAAATAATAGGTGTGTGGAAGCTTTACTATATAAAACAATCTTGCTTGTTAGTGCAAGTTTAGTTGTCCCTTACAGGATTTGCCTAGAGGTTGAAAAGTGCCTCAGAGCAACCAAGTTTTTTTGTTTTGTTTTGTTTTTTGAGACGGGCTTTCTCTCTGTAGCCCTGGAACTTGCTCTGTAGACCAGGCTGACCTCAGACTCACAGAGATCTGCCTGCTTCTGCCTCCCAAGTGCTGGGATTAAAGGCGTGCGCCACCACTGCTTGGCTTATAAGTGTTTTTAACTCTGCTGATTGCCACAGAAACTTATCAAGTGGATGTGGCTAAGTTTCTGATCACTTAAGTTTTTTCTTAATTATTATTCATTTTTATTTTTAATTTTGTAGACCTTTCTCAATGGCTAAAGTGGATTTTGAATATATTTGTGTTTTGTATACTGTTATAATTTTCCATGTTTCCTGTGAAATGTGTTTTAGAGATTGTGTCATAAGAAATAGATCATATGGAAACATTTCATTTCCCCTCTGTTTTTGCTGTTTACTCTTTTTTTCTTAAAGAATGAAGTTTGTATATAAATATTTAGTCATGTATAAGTAATTCCTTAGGAGTAGTTTCAATAATATTATAGGTATAAATATCTTAATAATGGGTTTAATTTTTTTGTAAGGCTTATAAATCTGTCTCGAACAGTTATCTCCAGAGAGATTTAACCAGGACATATAGCCATTACTATTAAGGGGACTGTTCATATTATACTCTATATTTCCAACTTGTTAGGCAAAGAATGACAGTTCAACTGGCATTTATTTCTTAGCACTATGAAGAAAATCTGTGGGCATTTGATTGTTGAGAATTGATTTAGGTTCTTTGTCTCTTTCTGGTGAGGAAATAGTTACAAATTGATGTGTGTATTAATGATAGATTTTCCTTGTCTCTTGTTTGTCTTGCTAAGGCTGCTTTCTACTGTGCTGTTGTTACTTCAGGGCTTGCAAGGCACAAGGCTGCAGGTGGCCGGAAACCAAAGATAGTCTAATTGTAACAGACAAAACTCCAGAGAAGCCCAGGCTGGGTGTGTGGTACATGGGTACCTGTAATCCTAGCAGTCTGAATACTAAGGCAGGAGGATTTGCAAGTTCAAGACCAGCCTGGTTCTGCTCTCATACAAATTTAGTAGCAAATTTACATTCTTCTTCCCACTCATTTCCTATCCTGTCATGGCTTATTCACTGTGTGACTCTTAGGTAACTTTGGTATTTGAAGTTTTCTGTCCCCCCGCAGACCCCACCCCACATACCTCTTTCTCCCTGGCAGGTACTGTTTTTTGAATGCCTTGATTTCCAGTAAGGTGATGACTGTGACCTCTTTTTCATGTTTTGTAGATACTCAAATGCTAGTTATTCACAACAAACCTCGAGGAACTTGATTTTATGGCTTACTTGTGTGTCCCCTCATGTTTATGTAACAAAAGGAAACTTACAGTTTAGCTATGTTTGTATCTCATAGTTGTCTTTCTTTTTTTTTTTTTTGATTTTTCGAGACAGGGTTTCTCCGTAGCTTTTGGTTCCTGTCCTGGAACTAGCTCTTGTAGACCAGGCTGGCCTCGAACTCCCAGAGATCCGCCTGCCTCTGCCTCCCGAGTGCTGGGATTAAAGGCGTGCGCCACCACCGCCCGGCAGTTGTCTTTCTTTTTAAGGATAACTTTGAATACTATGTCTTATTTGGTAGTAATCTTATTCTTTTTTTTATTGAAAAAAAAAATTTCTGCCTCCTCCCAACCTCCCTTTTCCCTCCCCCTCCCCCCTCTCCCCTCCCCCACTCCTCTCCCCCTCCCCCCACTCCTGTCTCCCTTCCCCCACTCCTGTCCCCCTCCCCCCACTCCTGTCTCCCTCCCCCCACTCCTCTCCCCCTCCCCCCACTCCTGTCTCCCTCCCCCCACTCCTGTCCCCCTCCCCCCACTCCTGTCTCCCTCCCCCCACTCCTGTCCCCCTCCCTCTCCAGTCCAAAGAGCAGTCAGGATTCCCTGCCCTGTGGAAAGTCCAAGGTCCTCCCCCCTCCGTCCATGTCTAGGAAGGTGAACATCCAAACTGGCTAGGCTCCCACAAAGCCAGAACATTACGTAGGTTCAAAACCCCATGCCATTGTCCTTGGCTTCTCATCAGCCCTCATTGTTCGCCATGCTCAGAGAGTCCAGTTTTATCCCATGCTTTTTCAGTCACAGTCCAGCTGGCCTTGGTGAGCTCCCAATAGATCAGCTCCACTGTCTCAGTGGGTGGGTGCACCCCTCGTGGTCCCGACTTCTTTGCTCATGTTCTCCCTCCTTCTGCTCCTCCTTGGGACCTTGGGAGCTCAGTCCAGTGCTCCAGTGTGGGTCTCTGTCTCTATCTCCATCCATCACCAGATGAAGGTTCTATGATGATATGCAAGATACTCATCAGTATGGCTATAGGATAGGGTCATTTCATGTTCCCTATCCTCAGCTGCCCCAGGAACTAACTGGGTTGGATAGGGGAGCAGGGAAGTAATCTTATTCTTTTCTTATAATTAATTCATGTTTTAAATTTTCTGTCATGTTTTAATAACATTAAAGCTTGTCTGAAAAATTCCTTGAATAGTTACTTGATTTTATGTATTTGATAGTAACACTTTAATTATTTCCATATTTATATATTTATAATGGGAATCTTTTACCCAGTTTTAACATATGGTTTTAGAATGCCTATGGTTAATAAAATTGAAAAGAATGATTGAAGTTCTACTAAAATGATTTCATGAAACTTACTATGCTTTGAAGGATGAAGGGTGGAAATACTGTCAATATTTAATTATTTGGTGATATAATTTCTCTTCTAGAATAGTCTAGAACTCTGATACGAATATATCTTCTGGTTATTAACTCTGTTTCCACAGTATTTGTCTTAGTCTGACTTTCATCTAAAGTATAATTATCACAGTAAATACTTTTTAATTCCTAAAATTTTAGAGTAATATTATGGTTTAATTATTAGGAATGCTTTTTATATTATATGTCATTTTAGGACTTGAAATAGGTCAACTTACTTTAAAAGATACTTTTAAACATTTTTTTGATAATGCTTGTTTTTTTTCCAAATACAGATTCATACTTTAGTAGAGAGTCTGAAGCTTTCTCTCACAGACCAGCAGCTGCCCATGTTCATCCGTCTCATGCAGCTGGGGATTGCTCTCTACTATGGAGAAATCGGTGATTTTAAAGATGGTGAAACCGAGGACCCTGCCTGTCACAGCAAAGACGCATTAGGAAGCCTTGCAGGTCAGCACAGTGCAGACTTCGTTTAGAACTGCCGAGTTTCACTGCTTAAAACTTCAGCTGCATCTTTCTGCAGCGACTGTTTGGTCACGCCCCATCCTGACAGCGTCTGCTGAAGCCAGCATGTGTTCATGTGTCCCCATTCTGATGTGTATGTCATCACAGCTCATGGCGTTAGTTTGCAAAGTTCTGATGAGTAAATATTTTGAGTGTTTTCATAGTCACTGGCCTTTAGTAAGTTTTTTATCCTTGTAAAATATATGCTAAATATTGCACATTTCAGAGCTTTTCCTGTTTTATTATGAACTTGTGTTTTTATGTTTTGGATTCAAGTCACATTTATGAGTTTTCTTTGTCAGCATGTGACTTGCTTATGACGTGTGTGGGAGGGGCGGTGTGGCTGTGCCTGTGGATGTCAGAGGAGACTTGGTGCAGTCCTTTCTCTCTCCCGGCTGGGCTGGTGTGGTCAGCCTGCGGTGCCAGCGCCTTTGCCCTCTGTGCCACCTTGTCAGCCCAGCCGCCTCATGTTCAATAGGTGGTTCTTGAACAGAAGTTGTCAGTGTTGATAGAATAACTTCTGCTTGCAGTGCTGGGGTTGGGGCAGTTGTGAAAGCCTGTGCTCTGCTTCTTAATGACGGAGCAGGCTTAGCCGGCTCTGTAGGAACAGGGACCCTGCCTGGAGAATAAGGTGGAGGGAGTGGAGAACACCACATGTGTACAACACATGAAAGAAAATGCTAATTTCTGTGACCTAAGAAGTGGCTAGGTTTTTTGTTTTGTATGTTTTCAGAGGAAGAAAACAGCTCTGTTTGCTTCTGAAGGACTTTGATTTAGTTTTCCCATTTTTAAAAGTGAGAATGCTTTACTGTTTTATTTTTTATTTATGGTGTGTGTATGTTTGGAAAAACTTGCGAAGCTCTCAGAAAATTCTGAGCAGCTTGATCGTGACATTTGCTGGTGTCCTGGCTTCATGGAAGCTTTCATTCCTAGACATCTGCAGCTTTCCTGTGTGTGTAGACAGTGTGGCCAGACTTGTTCATTTCTTTGCTGATTCTCACACTTGCCAGAGCTCAGCTGAGCTTCCCTCACCTATTAATGTTTATCTTTCTCTCTGTGTTTCTTTTTATATAGTTCCTAGTCTCTGAATAAGTCACTAATTTTCTTCTGCAACTCATTTGCTTTTAGCTTCATCTTCCATTTGTTAGTGTTTGGAAGTTAAGAGACTTCTGTGATTCATGCCATTTTAAGCATTTTAGAACACATGTCTTCTGTTTATATAGCTGTTTAGTGTCCTGTTCTAACACTGTGATCTTTATTTTTCTGGACTTGTTTCTATTGATTTGCTTTCCCTCATTATGTTTTTTTATTTGCCTTAATAAATTGTATTTATTCTCTGAGTTGAGACTCTTACTAGCTGGCTGTGCTGGACTCAGATTGGTGGGCAAGCAAGTGCTGCACCAGCTTCTGGGGTGACCAGTGATGTGCACTGCTGTATCCAGCTGCCTGGTAGTTTTGATCGAATGCTAGGCACTGTGGAGTTTATCTCGCCGAGTTCTAGATGGATTTTTGTTTCAACAAACAGTGACAGTACTGGAAATGATTCATGTGAGGCTTGCTTTAAGCCTGTTAGATGGCAGCAGGGTGACTATCAGCTTAAGTTCCCAGGTCTGCTATACTGTTTTCTCATCTAAGAGAGACTCCTGAACCTGAGTTGGGCTTCTCCTTTTATAAGTATGGCTTAGAATTCTTTCCAGCAGTAAGATGGGGTTGTTGAAGAGTTCCCTCATTGATGATAGCCATTTTGTGTGGAAACTTTTCTTGTATTTTATCTTTTTTTTTAAATTGGGAGGATAAATTCTCCTGAATATTTTAAATACTTAGGGTAAATATATGGGATTATAAAAGAAACTAATTATATAGTTCTATTTATCCTATTTAAATGTTCTTTATTTAGTTAAAATGAGTTTATTTTGATTGGCAGGTACTGAAGATGAGACAAGAATAGATATGCAGTATCCTGCTCAGTACAAAGGCCAAGAATTCTATTCCCAGGACTGTGAGGAGCCTCAGGGATGGGTGTCCTGGGCCTGGTCGTTTGTTCCTGCCATCGTGAGTTATGATGTTGGGGAAGAAGACTACCTTGGGAGTGACCCTGCATCAACCATGCATCAACAGAAAGTGCAAACCCTGAAGGACCCCATTGTTTCTGTTGGGTTTTACTGCACAAAGGCAACTGTGACTTTTAAAGTAGGTTTCTCTTTCTTTTGTTGCTAATATCTGTTAACTTCAGTGTTTAAATTTCAGCAGTACTGCACTTTAGCCAAGGGGGCTTAGCGGATGAAAGGTAGAATCTCACAATTCTTCATTAAATTGCACGATCCTTCTAACTGAATTCTTGAATTTTGATTTCCTCTTGTTAAAGTTGCCACCACTTTTCTTTCTTATCTACGTCATATAAATTCCTCTGTTCTGGGTTATTCAGTTGTCATGTAACCCTGCTTTAATATTCAAAACAAAATCTCATAGCTGGGGCTAGAGAGATGCAGTGTCTTGGTGATTAAGAGTTTTGGTTCCTAGCATCATGTCAAGTTCCAGGGGATCCTACACTCTCTTCTGGCCTTTGTGGGTACTGCATTTATGTGCACATAGCCCCCACATAGACAGACACATAATTAAAAATAGTCAATCTTTAAAATGCCTCATTTTATGATTTTTTTTAATTTTTTTTATTGCGAAAAGAAGAAAAAAAACATAAACAAAAAACAAGTTTCCACCTCCTCCCAGCCTCCCATTTCCCTTCCCCTCCTCCCACCCTTCTCCCCCTCCTCCCACCCTTCTCCCCCTCCCCCCACTCATCTCCCCCCCCTCCCTCTCCAGTCCACAGAGCAGTCCGGGTTCCCTGCCCTGTGGTAAGTCCTAGGTCCTCCCCCCTCCGTCCATATCTAGGAAGGTGACCATCCAAACTGGCTAGGCTCCCACAAAGCCAGCACATTAAGTAGGATCAAAACCCCCTGCCATTGTCCTTGGTGTCTCATCAGCCCTCATTGTTCGCCATGTTCAGAGAGTCCGGTTTTATCCCATGCTTTTTCGGTCACAGTCCAGCTGGCCTTGGTGAGCTCCCCGTAGATCAGCTCCACTGTCTCAGTGGGTGGATGCACGCCTCGTGGTCCCGAATTCTTTGCTCATGTTCTCCCTCCTTCTGCTCCTCCTTGGGACCTTGGGAGCTCAGTCCAGTGCTCCTGTGTGGGTCTCTGTCTCTATCTCTATCCATCACCAGATGAAGGTTCTATGATGATATGCAAGATATTCGTTAGTATTGCTCTAGGAAAGGGTCATTTCATGTTCCCTATCCTCAGCTGCCCAAGGAACTAACTAGGAACCTCATCTTGGGCAATAGGGAGCCCCTCTAGGGTCAAGTCTCTTGCCCACCCTAAACTGGCTCCCTTAACTAAGAATTGTGGTTCCGTGCTCCCCTATCCACCTTTCCTTTATCCCAATTCTCCTGTTTCCCAGGTCCCCCCTCCTTCCCTTCTACCTTTTCTCTCCCCATCTCCCTTTACCCCCATCCCACCCCATCCCCAAGATCCCATTTTCTCCCCGGAAATTTGGTCTACTTCCCTTAGCCAAGAGGACAACTATATGTTTTTCCTTGGGTTCACCTTCTTACTTAGCTTCTTTAGGTTCACCGCTTGTAGACTCCGTGGTCCTTATTTATGGCTAGAAACCAATTATGAGTGAGTACATCCCATATTCATCTTTTTGGGTCTGGGACACCTCACTCAGGATAGTGTTTTCTATTTCCATCCATTTGCATGCAAAATTCGAGAAGTCATTGTTTTTTACCGCAGCGTAGTACTCTAGCGTGTATGTATTCCATACTTTCTTCATCCATTCTTCCACTGAAGGGCATCTAGGTTGTTTCCAGGTTCTGGCTATTACAAATAATACTGCTATGAACATAGTTGAACAAATGCTTTTGTCATTTGATAAAGCATCTCTTGGGTATATTCCCAAGAGTGGTATTGCTGGGTCCAGGGGTAAGTTGATCCCGAATTTCCTGAGAAACTGAAACACTGACTTCCACAGTGGTTGCACAAGATTGCATTCCCACCAGCAATGGATGAGGGTACCCGTTCCTCCACAGCCTCTCCAGCAAACGTTATCCTTGGTGTTTTTGACTTTAGCCATTCTGACAGGTGTAAGATGATATCTCAAAGTTGTTTTGATTTGCATTTCCCTGATTGCTAAGGAAGTTGAACACGACCTTAAGTGTCTTTTGGCCATTTGAACTTCTTCTGTTGAGAATTCTCTGTTCAGTTCAGTGCCCCATTTTTTAATTGGGTTAATTAGCATTTTAAAGTCTAGTTTCTTGAGTTCTCTATATATTTTGGAGATCAGACCTTTGTCTGTTGTGGGGTTGGTGAAAATCTTCTCCCAGTCAGTAGGTTGCCTTTGTGTCTTAGTAACCATGTCCTTTGCTTTACAGAAGCTTCTCAGTTTAAGTAGGTCCCATTTATTCAATGTTGCCCTTAATGTCTGTGCTTCTGGGGTTATACATAGGAAGCGATCTCCTGTGCCCATCTGTTGTAGGTTATTTCCCACTTTCTCTTCTATCAGGTTCAGTGTGTTCGGGCTGATATTGAGGTCTTTAATCCATTTGGACTTGAGTTTTGTGCACGGTGAGAGATATGGGTCTATTTTCATTCTTCTACAGGTTGACATCCAGTTGTGCCAGCACCATTTGTTGAAGATGCTTTCTTTCTTCCATTGTATACTTTTAGCTCCTTTATCGAAAATGAGGTGTTCATAGGTTTGTGGGATAAAATCTGGGTCTTCTATACGATTCCATTGGTCGACTTCTCTGTTTTTATGCCAGTACCACACTGTTTTCATTACTGTAGCTCTGTAATAGAGTTTGAAGTCAGGGATGGTAATGCCTCCAGAAGATCCTTTATTGTATAGGATTGTTTTGGCTATCCTGGGTTTTTTGTTTTTCCATATAAAGTTGATTATTGTCTTCTCCAGATCTGTGAAGAATTTTGATGGGATCTTGATGGAGATTGCATTGAATCTATAAATTGCCTTAGGTAGAATTGCCATTTTTACTATGTTGATCCTCCCAATCCAAGAGCAAGGGAGGTCCATCCATTTTTTGGTATCCTCTTCAATTTCTTTCTTCAATGCCTTAAAGTTCTTGTCAAATAGATCTTTCACTTCCTTGGTTAGATTTACCCCAAGATATTTTATGCTGTTTGTGGCTATCGTGAATGGTGAAGCTTCTTTGATTTCCCTCTCTGCTTCCATATCCTTTGTGTATAAGAGGGCGACTGATATTTTGGAGTTGATCTTGTATCCTGCCACATTACTAAAGCTGTTTATCAGCTGTATAAGTTCTTTGGTGGAGTTTTGGGGGTCGCTTTTGTACACTATCATATCATCTGCAAATAACGAAAGTTTAACTTCTTCCTTTCCAATTCGAATCCCCTTGATCCCATTATGTTGTCTTATTGCTATTGCTAGAACTTCAAGCACTATATTGAAGAGGTATGGCGAGAGTGGACAGCCTTGCCGTGTTCCTGAGTTTAGTGGGATGGCTTTGAGTTTCTCTCCGTTTAATTTGATGTTAGCTGTCGGTTTGCTGTATATAGCTTTTATTATATTTAGGTATGACCCTTGTATCCCTAATCTCTTCAAGACTTTTAACATAAATGGATGTTGAATTTTGTCAAATGCTTTTTCAGCATCTAATGAAATGATCATATGGTTTTTTTCTTTCAGTTTATTTATATGCTTGATTACATTGATAGATTTTCGTATGTTGAACCAGCCCTGCATCTGAGGAATGAAGCCTACTTGATCATAATGGATAATTTTTCGGATGTGTTCTTGGATTCGATTTGCCAGTATTTTGTTGAGGATTTTTGCGTCGATATTCATGAGTGAGATTGGCCTGTAGTTCTCTTTCCTGGTTGAGTCTTTGAGTGGTTTTGGTATCAGAGTAATTGTGGCTTCATAAAAGGAATTTGGTAATGACCCTTCTGTTTCTATATTGTGGAATACATTAAGGAGTATAGGTATTAGGTCTTCTTGGAAGTTCTGGTAGAATTCTGCATTGAAACCATCTGGTCCTGGGCTTTTTTTGGTAGGGAGGTTTTTGATAACAGCTTCTAATTCTTCGCGACTTACAGGTCTGTTTAGATTGTTCACCTGGTCCTGTTTTAGTTTTGGTAAATGGTATTTATCTAAAAAAGCGTCCATTTCTTTTACATTTTCCAGTTTTGTGGCATACAGGCTTTTGTAGTAAGATCTAATGACTCTCTGAATTTCCTCTGTGTCTGTGGTTATGTCCCCCTTTTCATTTCTGATCTTATTAATTTGCGTGTTCTCTCTCTGTCGTTTGATTAGTTTGGATAGGGGTTTATCAATCTTGTTGATTTTCTCCAGGAACCAGCTTTTTGTTTCATTGATTCTTTGGATTGTTTTCTGTGTTTCTATTTTGTTGATTTCAGCCCTCAGTTTGATTATTTCCAGTCTTCTACTCCTCCTAGGTGAGTCTGCTTCTTTTTTTTCTAGAGCTTTCAAGTGGGCTGTTAAGTCTCCAGTATGTGCTTTCTCTGTTTTCTTTAGGTGGGCACTTAGTGCTATGAACTTTCCTCTCAGGACTGCTTTCATAGTGTCCCATAAGTTCGAGTATGTTGTTCCTTTATTTTCATTGAATTCAAGGAAGACTTTAATTTCTTTCTTTATTTCTTCCTTAATCCAGGTATGGTTCAGTAGTTGACTGTTCAGTTTCCATGAGTTTGTAGGCTTTCTGGGGGTAGCATTGTTGTTGAATTCTAACTTTAATCCATGGTGATCTGATAAGACACAGGTGGTTACTAATATTTTTTTGTAACTGTGTAAGTTAGCTTTGTTACCAAGTATATGGTCAATTTTCGAGAAGGTTCCATGAGCTGCAGAGAAGAAGGTATATTCTTTCCTCTTTGGGTGGAATAATCTATAGATGTCTGTTAAGTCCATTTGCTTCATTACCTCCATTAATTCTCTAATTTCTCTGTTAGGTTTCTGTCTGATTGACCTGTCCATTGGTGAGAGAGGAGTGTTGAAGTCTCCTACTATTAGTGTGTGCGGTTTGATGTCTGCCTTGAGTTTTAGTAATGTTTCTTTTACGTACGTGGGTGCTTTTATATTAGGGGCATAGATATTCAGGATTGAGACTTCTTCCTGATGAATTGTTCCTGTTATGAGTATAAAATGTCCCTCTCCATCTCTTCTGATTTTATGATTTTTTTAACAAAATATTTTGTTGACACTTTAATTTTTATATTAACGAGACTGAATGTGATATTTTCACACATACATGTAGCACGCATCAGAAGCTAATTGTTCTCTTTCCCTTTTTTCAACCCTCTGCCATGCCTTCTCAACCTTTAGTAATCACTATTGCACTTTAAGGCCATCTTCTTTTGGCTTCCTCCTTTGTTTTTTCTGTTGTTGTTGTGTGTGTGTGTCCGTAATATTTTCTATCTCCATCCATTTTCCTGGATCTTTCATTCTTTATTACTGAGTAATAAATACCCCATTTTGTGTGTGTGTGTATCACTTCAGTGTCATTTACTTGGTGATAAGCTTCTAGGCTGCTTCTGTATCACGGCTTTAAATAAATGAAGGCATAATAAGTACGGGTATGTAGGAATGTTTTTAGTCTTTGAATATGTCTGAAGTGGGTGACTGGATCATCCCAGGTGTCTCAGTACTGTTGTCCATTGGCCATGTTCATTTGTATTCTCACTGGGAGCATTTGAAGTTCTTTGCTAATGCTTGTAATACATTTCTGTTTCTTCTTTTAGATTTACTTATTTTACTTCATTTGTATGAATGTTTTGCCTGCATATATGTATGTGTACTGTGTGATTGGTGCTCGCTGAGGTCCTGACACTGGACTTAAGAATAGTTGTGAGTCCTCATGTGGTACAGGACACTGGATCCAGCCCTCTGCAGCTGTGGCAAATGTGCCTAACTGCTGAACCATTTCTCTAGCCACATTTTAATTTAATTTATTTATTTTTGCATTTTAATTTTTAAAGGAGTATTTTCCTCTTCTCTTTGCTTAAGAATTCAATTTTGTTTTTACATCCTTTTATTTTAAACAGCATTCAACATACTTTACTACCTTCTTTACTAAAAATGAATATAACTGTATTCAAATACAGTATACAACACGTGTGATCACAGCGAGAAAAAGGGAACATTCTTTTGTATAATCATAGTTACTAATACTTTGGTGTCCCTTATTAGTTCTTTGACAATATTTTCTTCCCTTTCAAATAGAACTCAGCTTGAATTTTGAGTTGTTTCCTAGCTTTTTCTAATACCATTGCCATACACATCTTTAATCAGTTCTTAATTTTTGCAGCAAATAGTTAATTAATTATTTGACTTAGAGTCCTTTTAGCACAGGCTGGCTTCAAATGTTCTGTTTATAATAGCTGTGGATAATATTGCATTTAGTTTTTCAAAAATTTATTTATTTTTATTTTATGTGCTTTGGTGTGAGGGTGTTAGGTTCCCTAGAACTGGAGTTACCGACAGTTATAAACTGCCAAAGTGGTTGCTGGGAATTGAACCTGGGTCCTCTGGAAGAGGTGTCAGTGCTCTTAACCGCTGAGCCATCTCTTCAGCCATCAACATTGCATTTCTGATCCTGCATCGTCCACCTCTGAAGTGGTAGGAAGGGCTACAGCCACCCACTGCTCTGCCCAAATTCAAATATTTATTGATGCCACCTGTGTCCCTCTGAGCATGACTCAGTGAGGTCAGCAGTCCTGGTCTGTTAGGACTTACATTGTAATTAAAACCAATGTGAGGGAAAACATGTTTATGAATAAGTTAGGTAAGAAAGAGAGGAAGGTAACAGTGAGTGTTGCATTGAAAGGGAGAGGATTATTCATTTTAAAACCGGTTGACTGAAGAAAGGTTGTCTTGTGAAGGAAGCATTTAAGCAAAGGTGTGTGGAAGAGAAAGCCTCGTGGGTATATGGGAATGCACTCATTCCGGACCAGCAACTGGTCAAGAACTATCAAGGAGGCAGTTTAGAACACCAGAGCTGATGTGTAAATAGTGTAGAACTGTCAGACAGTGGGGGTTCCAGCAGAGCAGTGAATCACTCAGATCGTTGTAAACTTGTCTTTGTTTTGAGTGAGTTAGGAAGCTTTTAGATAGACTCAGACTATCCCTTCGAGTGGATCCTTGTGAGCACGGATGCTGCCGGGGTCAGGTTTGTACCTCTGCTCTTCCTGGATGGCAGTGTGCTGTCATTTGCACCTTTCATGCTTTAACACGTATAGTAATAGAACACTTGGTTTTTCTGTGCTGTCCTGCCTTCTCTACTGTTCTATAATTTAAAAATTCCAACCTTATCCATGTTATGAATATTGTTTTCTAACCCACTATGTCAAGTCAGTCATATTCCATACTTCTTACAAGCTGTTCACAGACTGAGTTTTTAAACTGAGTTCTTCAGGATGCGTTTTTAAAAGAATAAGTAGTGAGGGAAGTAAAAGATTAAAAGTGAAGTACTACTCTTTCTAAAGATTTTTGCCTATTCACGTTTAAAACTGAAATTTATAATATTTTTATTAAATTACAGATAAAAATAATTGTATTCCATAGAACCAGCATAGGCACTTATATGCAAAATGTCTATGGAGGGTCAGTATTTGTTATTAGTCGGGAAATGTTTTTAAAATGTAAAGCATTTGTGCTTCTCAAATTTTCTTTGAGGAAAATACGTTGGTATGTAGGAGGAAAGCACTGGAATTCAGGGTTCCGCTTGGATTTGAAGAATGTATGGACTTAATTTGTGGTTTATATTTTGGTCAGAAAATAAGGTCATGTTTCTATATTAGCATTTGGAACACTTGATATTAGTCCAACAAAAATCATGCTAAATTAAATGTAGCATTTTTCTAGTAATGTTTAAGTTGTTCTTGTAATGTTTAAGTCCTTTTAATCAATTAATTGCTTTTTCTTTAGAGTAATTGTAGACAGCTGAAGGCTGATCAAATTTTAAAATTCAATTTTACTTTAATATTTTAGCTTTCAGAATTATGTTTAAAATAACTGAGTATACCGTTACTAGAAATATATATTAAATAAAAGCTCATCTGTAACAGAAAATATATAGAATTATTAGAGTAAATGAGAATGATTAGTTGCTTCTCAGTATAAAGTATTTAGACTTAAAATTATAATTTCCAGTTGAATAACTTTTATTTGGTTTAAATAAAATAACTTTTATTTGGTTGAAAATTGTGATCTGTTTTTTTGTATTTCAATTTGAAGAATATTATATATCCATTTTGCAGCATAATTGTAACCAAATCATTGCTAAATCCACGAAGGACACGTTAATTAAAGAAATAACCCTTTCATATGGGAAGGAATAAAGTTTGAGCCCCGTTTCCCTGTGTGTGTTATGAGTTTGTGCTATCGTGGTGTGTTAACCAAACCAATAAGCAAAGACTGATGCAGTGCTGACCTTGTCTAGACTGTAATTAACCCCTGTCATTTTCTTCCTTTCTTTTTCTGTTCTGTGATGCGGACTAGGATGGCCTATTGTGTTCAGAGAAGTGCAGTTGAGGTCAGGTGCGCCAGCTCGCCTACTCCCAGGGCTTCAAAGGCCAGGGGATTTGTTGCAAAGTTGAGGCCATTCTGGTGCTCTCATTGAGCTCTAGACAGCCAAGGTTACACAGGGAGAAACATCAAAAAAACCAATCAACCAAACTCTTTTCCTTTAAAAATAGTGAGGAATCTTGGAAATGATTGAAATATATGAATTAAATCATAGTATATATGATATATGTTATATATGAATAAAACAGGTGAAAGTCATAGTATAATACATTTTTGGTAGATTATTTGAGCCACTTTATGAGTGGAACTGTGAATATATGTACCCTTTTCTTTTTAAAGTGCTATGAAGGAGTTAAAATGTTGCGTTTATGTTGCAAATAGCATGTTTGACCATTCTTTAGGCCATGGATAATTTGTAGCAGCTGGGGTTTTTTTGTTTTTTTGCACCTGTTTTTCTGCTTAGTAATTAAATTTCCTGAATCTTAAAATTGGCCTTATTTCATGATGCAGAAAGGAAGATGACAGTGCATTGCTTATTTACGGCTAGTTCTGATTTACTTAATATTCTTCTGTTTCTTAGCTCACTGAAATGCAAGCTGAAAGTAGCTATTATAGCCCACAGAAAGTAAAGTCTAAGGAAGTTTTGTGCTGGGAACAAGAAGGAACTACAATTGAGGTAATCTTTAAGCATCAGACGTGGTAACGCGGGCTCTGTAACAGTTGTGTATTTAAAATACTTAGATTTATAATCTTGCAGTCTTTCTGTTTGAGTCAGCATTGTCGGTTGAAATGATTATTCCTTTAATGTGCAACCGGGATTTGTTTTATAATGCCTGTCTGTGTGGTGTGGGAGGCATGGTGTTCACAGAATGATGTCCTCTGAGGCTGTGAAAGTCTTAGTGTCTCGTCTTTGAATGCTTTTGAAAGGCAGCATGCCTGTTTCATGTAGAAAGTCTACAAAGAAACCTGTCATGTCCTTATTAAATACAAGTGTTTAATTCTTATATCCCCCTTCCCTTACAGGCCCTTATGATGGGAGAGCCTTTCTTTGATTGTCAGATTGGATTTGTAGGTTGCAGAGCCATATGCCTTAAAGGAATTATGGGCGTTAGAGATTTTGAAGAGCATATGAACAGAAGTGAAGCTGTAAGTCAAGGTCTTCCCTTATTTTAGATAGAATGCCAGGATAATGAAGTATACCAATTACCATACAAGATCTGCTTGGTACCTTCATCTGTGGCTTGAAAAGAGGGCCTTTTTTGTTCCCTCTCTATTTCTATGTAAGGAATTATGTATCTCAGGAGATATAAAAAGTTGATATCACTTAACACTTGAACAATCAGTCCAAATATATTTCATTCATAAATGTTTCCTTATTGTTTAAGGCAGTTGCTTGGAGTTCCTTTCTGGATTATTGGATGTTCTTTGTCAAAATGAGCAATAAATATGGTGATAGCCTTCCTTCCCTTTTCATAGGACATCAATAAATATGGTGATAGCCTTCCTTCCCTTTTCATAGGACTTCAATAAATATGGTGATAGCCTTCCTCCCCTTTTCATGGGACATCAAACTTTACTGACTTGTGTTAAGTACTAAATGAGTCTAGTATAAAAAGCTTCTTTAGTAGTCTAATGACTTTTTCTCCTGTTAAGATTTATACATTAATTTTTCAGGAAGCCTGCTTCTTCATTTGTGGTGAAAATTTGAGTACAAAAGGTTTGACATACCTTACAAATTCATTGTTTGATTACCGAAGCCCAGAGAACAATGGCACCCGTGCCGAGTTTATCTTGGATGCAGCTCACCATAAGGTCAGGGAATAGATTTTGGAGCCAAATTCTTGTTGTGGTTGGGTGGACACATTGTGTGAATACTTGTGATTGCTGTTTGCGTCTCAGTTTCTTCCAAGCACTGATTGTTTACTGGAACACTTGGAAATTATTTGTTCCAAGCTCTAGACCTAGAAAGACTTAAGGGATATGCAGAAATGTTTGGCTTTTTGTAGTGTAGCCATAGTTTGTTTATGCATACTTCACTGTTAGTTAGTTATGGAGGAAACATGTAGAATCACCTTTATTAATTTTTGTTGTCTCTAACATGTAAAATTGATGAAAAGGAACAAAATTTAATTTTCACTGCATACTTTTTTCCTTTTTCAATTTTTCATGTAATATTATATTAATATACTTATAGAATATTTGTGCATTTTCAGATAAATATGTTCAAAGTTACTTTTGTATTTAAGTAATATAAACTTATAATTTACATTTTAATTTTTCAATTGAGATTGACTTTCATAGTTAAAACTAAATAGTTCAATGTTTCCTGGTGTGATGAGTACACATTGAGAACATTTTAGTGTATCTTCAGTGTTTGAAGTGTCTCATGTCAGTATATTGAGGTAATTATGGACTGACTCTGTTTGAGGGATACATTACTGCACAGTTTTGTGATAGTGATAAAGTTCAAGAGTGTGTACTACGCACTCGGTAGAGCCGTTCATTCACTAGACAGTGTTCCAGATGTCACCTAGAAGGAGGTTGGCATTGGAGGAACACTACATTTCTTAGGAGTGAGTTCCTTGGATAAACCTCTCCTCTTTGGCTTTGGCAATCCTTTGGGTTGATGCAGTATATATGGTTGTGAACCAGAGGTATTCTGTTTTAACACTCTGTTCTACCCCATGTTGTGCTTGCATTTCTTTATTGGCAGGAGACATACACAAAAATAGCTGGCATGCAAAGGTTTGGTGCTTTCTACATGGATTACCTGTATACAGTGGAGCACAGCAGGGGCAAAGGTATGGGTTCTCTTGCCTTTGCATTGACCTCTGCTGAAGCAGCAGAAAATAAAGGGCCTTGGCAGACCGTATTCTGTTACTTTACATTTATCTTCAGGTATCTTGGGGTGAAGGGTTTAAAATAGAATTTTAGTGTTAGAATAGAATGTTCTGGCATTTTAAATCCTTCACTTGTATAGCTGTATGAAAATACATTTAAAATAGTCAACTATATTATTAGCATTTATGCATATTACATATAAAATTATACATATACAATTTCATTTTACAGTAGCATGTCAGAAAAAACAGTTATTTTAAAGACTACATATAGATATTTTTACTTAAAAGTTTGTTGAGATGAACAGAGGAGTGAATAGACGTTGAGTAAATGGCAGTTGTGAACTGTGTTAAGGGCGGTAGTGCAGATAGAGGAGCTGGGCAGTTGTGAACTGTGTTAAGGGCGGTAGTGCAGATAGAGGAGCTGGGTAGGTGTAAACTGTGTTAAGGGCGGTAGTGCAGATAGAGGAGCTGGGTAGGTGTGAACTGTGTTAAGGGCGGTAGTGCAGATAGAGGAGCTGGGTAGGTGTGAACTGTGTTAAGGGCGGTAGTGCAGATAGAGGAGCTGGGTAGGTGTGAACTGTGTTAAGGGCGGTAGTGCAGATAGAGGAGCTGGGTAGGTGTGAACTGTGTTAAGGGCGGTAGTGCAGATAGAGGAGCTGGGCAGGTGTGAACTGTGTTAAGGGCGGTAGTGCAGATAGAGGAGCTGGGCAGGTGTGAACTGTGTTAAGGGCTGTAGTGCAGATAGAGGAGCTGGGTAGGTGTGAACTGTGTTAAGGGCGGTAGTGCAGATAGAGGAGATTGGGGAACACAAAGCCAAAAAACAGCAGCTTGTTTGAAGGGTTGAAAATTTCAGAGTTGATCTTGAAAGTAAGGTCTTTTATAAAGAGAGAAGAACATACCAGCAATATTTTGTCTTTTTTTTGTGATGTTTTTATAAGTGTAGTTTTCATTGATCATAATTAAGTATGACATTCATGCACTCACTTTTTTATGTCTGATTGATGCTTAAAATACTAATATAAAATGGACTTCTTGTAGGTCCAGCAAATCAGCAAGACTTTCCTTCAGGGAAAAATGAGGACTTGGGAATAGTCCAAGAAAAGTCTACTAAAAGCCTTGTTATAGGCCCTCTAGATTTACGCTTGGACAGTAGTGCAGTGCATCGGATTTTGAAGATGACCGTCTGTGCTTTGGAACATGAATATGAGCCATACAGCAGGCTGAAACCAGGTTTGTTTTTAACTTCATTCTTGACTGCCAAGGTATTTTTGGTTGTGTGACTCAGTTTTTCTCTGTTTTTCACTTTTGCTCCGTTATATTTTGCTTGGTAGTATGGGCTTTCACATGAGCATCTGCCACATGAGTGAGTGAGCTCGTTTGAAGAAAGATTAGAAATGAAATTTGCAGTTTTTGCTGTAAGGACTTGATGTGCTGTATTCCTGGAACTCAGATGCTGGTGCCAGCACTCTGCGGCTGCTTACAACCACCTATAACCTGCGTTCAGGGGATTCTGGCCTCTGTGTGTACCAGGTCTATATGTGCCACACAGACACACATACATGCAAAAAGCTCACACATAAAAGAAATCTATCTTCATAGGATCTTTGTCTCTACCTGTACATATCTTTATCTGTATATCTGTCTGTGGCAATTTTTTTTTTTAGTTTGTGTCTTGTCTTTGTACTTTTAATTTTAGTGGTATTTTAATGTTGAGAATTGATATTATCTTAAAGAAATTAGAAACTCCTGAAACGATATATCAAAATAAAACATTTAATCTCTAAATACCTCAGACTTATACATTTATATTATTTAGAATTTGTATTATAATTGAAAGTAACATATTTTATGACTTTCTTTAAAATTAAAATTTTAATTTCCCTTAAAAATTGGGGAATTGTTTAACTCAGTTTTTAGTTGATTAAAAAAATTAACTTATTTACAATATTCTTTATTGAATTTTTATCATTTTTATTTTAGAAAGTAAGAATGAAAAGGAAACAGTACTGAATCCTGAGGAAGTGGCTTCTCTGGAGGAATATATTCCCACTCGGCACACAAGCGTTACTCTTCTCAAATGTACTTGCACGATTTTCATGGCAGAATTCAATTTGCTAGACCGCTTGCTTCCTGTCATCATGGGCGGAAAGGTACATCTGTTGTTCAGTGACCTATTCCTGTGGGGCATGCATGATTTCCAGTATTAAAGTGTATCCCTTATGGAGTAAATTCATTATAACTATAGTTGTTGATTTTTAGAAAGTAACATTGTTAAAAAATGTTGAAATAAATCTAATTTAATGCCATGTAAGGAAATGCTAAAGCGGGGCGTCTAGAAGTGAGAGCCTCTACTGCTGTTTTACTTGGCAGTTGTTTAACAACTTCAGCTCTTCTCTTCTCTTCTGGGTGTTCTGTCTCAGACAGTTGTTACATTAGGTGTTAAAAATCAAAAGATCTGCTGAATTTATTTCTTTTAAACATATATTTACATTCTGTATGTGCCCCCCTTTTGCTATAGCACAGTTCTGAAGGTCAGAGGACAAACTGTGGGAATCAGTTCTCTTCTACTACGCAGGGCCCAGGGATTAACCTTAGGTCTTTAGGTTTAGGGTGAGTCACCTCACCTGCCCTTCATTTCTTTATTTATACAGTGAAGGCAAAATCAATATTGCTGTCAACTTCTTTCCCTTATGACAGCACTGCAATCAAAGGACCAAGTGACTTATATTATGTGTGAAAGAGCGTGTGTTTTTCCTACACTGCAGCTAAATTCTTTATAGGTCCCCAGCTGTACGTATTTAGAAAGCCCTAATGTCTTAATCTGAATGAGAGAAGCCAATAATCTAAGGAAGTTGTCTTGTTCCTATTCAGAACTGGAACTGGGCTGTTTTTGGACTAACACACTTCTGTTTGTACTTACTGCTGATATATTACCCCTATCAGGGCTCAAAGAAAATGGGCAAGAAAAGTGTCCAGTGCTCTCTTCTGACTCCTGCAGAGTAGGCACAGCCTTACATAGATACACATGCAGGCGAGTCATACTCATGAAATAACCCCAAAACAAAATCTAAGGAAGAAATATTTTCTCTGCAAAGGAGCAGAGACGGAGTGCACAGCTGACTTGCACTAAGATCTACACAAGTGAGAAAAAGGAGGAGTAGAAGAGCTATGAGTTGGGGACCTAGGACGGGTTATCTCAGAAAAGCATAATTGAAAATGAAGGCGAAGCCAAGAAAAATATTGATAGCTTTTGCCAGTAAACTCTTAGAATTTATTAAGATATTGGATTTTTGAATATGGACTTTAATACTAGTAGCATCAAGTAAAAGATTTAAGTAAAGAATATTAACAGATTTTGAGCCGGGTATACTAGTTGTACGCCTTTATCCCAGCAATTGGGAGGCAGAGGCAGGCATGTCTCTGGTTTTGAGGCCAGCCTGGTTTCAATAACGTTCAGAACTACATAGAGAGGCCCTGTTAATAAAAAAGAAAAAAAGAAAAAAAATGAATATCATCAAAAATAAAAGGAACTACTCCAGGATGTTAAATGTGTCTGTTTAAAGAATTAAGGACATACACAGTTCCTGCAGATGTTTAGTCAAAGGGAGTATTCTGTATGATTCTTTTATGCGAAGTTTAAAAAGGACAAAAATTGAACTACAGTGATTAAGTAAGAATGTTGGTTTCTTCCAGTGGCAGTGTCTTGACCAGAAAGGGAGTCAGTCAGCCTTCTGGAGTCCCTCAGATGGGCGGGAGTTACACAAAATCGTTGTGCTTCTCAATTCAGACTGGTGTGGTTCATTTTATGTTTTTTTTTCCCCAACAGGAAGCCATAGTAATTTAGAAAGCAAAACAAAACAATAGCAATTTGAAAGTAGTTTCATTATTACTGAGGATGAAAAAACAGTGACGCTAGTATGTTCAGCCATCAATTATAGCCATATTGTTTCTCTGGGAAAATTACTGACTTTTGGGGTAGAGAAACAGTCTGTATGTAAATAGGTTGTCTCAAGACAAAGAAGGTCTTGGTTTTCTTTATTGAAAGCTTAGAACCAAGTTACTTTGAGAGTTAGTTCCAAGAAAGGTAGTACTTTGAGTAGCATACATTCTCAAGTTTGTCTGTGCCAGTTTGTGAGCAGAATGGTACATGGAGCACTGCCACTGCCAAAACCTCCGCAAGATGTAGAACTTCAATGTGCGTATTCTTAGGAAATATCTTTGGGTCATATTTTGCTTCATGTATACTTTATTATGTCTTTTACAGTGTAATGGTCTCAGGTTTTAGAATGGTTATGGAAATAATAAGGGGTGATAATACTCCTTTCTGTTATTTTACAGTGTAATGGTCTCAGGTTTTAGAATGGTTATGGAAATAAGGGGTGATAATACTCCTTTCTGTAATTGAAAAATAAAACTCATTAGCTGAAAGTTCAAGACTAATTTAACCTAAAATGCTTTCTTTAAAAGCTGAGACATACTTGAAATATCTAAAAGATATTTGTATTTAGTTATTTCATTAGAGTTCTAACAAAGGCATTTCTAGAGAGGTTTTCTGCTGTGAAATATGAGGGCCTGGAGTTTGTTTAGAGGGGTGTATGTAGATCAGTCACTGTTCTGTTAAAATTAATACCCTTACTTTCCAGAACTCAAGTAACTTCATGAATGCCACAAACTTCCAATCACTTCGACCTTTGCCATCCATTCAGATACTGGTGGATAAAATTAATTTGGAGCATTCTGTTCCAATGTATGCTGAGCAGTTGGTGCATGTAGTCAGTGGCCTCCCTCAGCCTTCTGATAGTCTGCTTCATTATTGCTATGTCCACTGCTACCTCAAGATAAGGACAGAATTTCCATAGGTGTTATTGTCTGGTCACTTTAGGAATAGCAAATGTATTTCTTTGTTTTAAAGGTTATAATTTTATAGAATCAATATTTCATAAGCTAAGATTTAAGTAAGACTTAGTCTAGTGCAGTGTAATTAAGATGTCTATTTTAAAATTTCCTTTGAATTCCTAGAAATGAGTAGTTTGTTTATAAGGCAGTTGTGATTTTACAATTTTGAAGATGTAAAAATGTCACTCATATCGATTTTTTGTAAGCAGTATGACAATATGTTTAACGTGGATACTTTTTAAAACAAACTCAGGATGCTTGAAAATAAATATTAATATAGGCATAGTGCTTCATAACACTTTAATGTACTTATTCTTAGTTTCTTCTTGTTGAAAATAAATATTAATATAGGCATAGTGCATCATAACACTTTAATGTGCTTATTCTTAGTCAGTTTCTTCTTGTTGGACTCACATTAATTTCTTTTTTTAAAAAAATATTTATTTATTTATTATGTATACAATATTCTGTCTGTGTGTATGCCTGCAGGCCAGAAGAGGGCACCAGTCCCCATTACAGATGGTTGTGAGCCACCATGTGGTTGCTGGGAATTGAACTCAGGACCTTTGGAAGAGCAGGCAATGCTCTTAACCTCTGAGCCATCTCTTCAGCCCCTCACATTAATTTCTTGATATAAAAGACATGTCTTGTTTAGTGGCATACATGCGTATATACATGTGGATACATACCCTTGTCCATGTGGCTCTGAAGCTGAGGTTGACAGAAGATGTCCTCTATCACTCTGCACATGATTTCCTGATAGTGGGTCTCTGCTGTTCCTGCAGCTCATGGATTGGCTGACCAGTGAACCCTTGACTTAGGTTACAGACATGTGTCATTGTGGCTCGCTCTTATCCCTGGGTGCTAGGGACCAAAGTCAGATCTTTATACTCATGCAGCAAACCACCTCCCCAGTCCTTCCACCCCAAACTTAAAAACCTTTCAGATATACTCATTAGGTCAGTGAGGTGGCTCAGTGGGCAGAGGTGCTTGCTTCCAGGCTTGCCCGTATATGGTGTGGTGGTGAAAGGACAGGCGTGAAAGATGTTTCTGCTGGGCTTCAGAGAGGTTTGGTGGCAAGCACCTTTAATCTGATGAGTCATCTTGGCAACCTAGTTTTATACCAAAAATAATAAATAAATAAATGAAAAGTGCTGGATTCCATGTGATGGACTCCATGAGAAAATTAAAGTACTTCCCTGTCTCTCAGTTGACACACTAGTGCTCCTTAGTTATATGTGTGTAATGTAAAACGGTAGCACACCAAAGACAATCTTTGGATTTCTTCAGATAAATTTAAGCGTAAAGTATTGAAATGTAACTGCTGTCAAACCATCTCAAACAGAAGAACATGTTTTCTTGGTGCTTCATTTGGGTAGTAGAACAAACATGGTAGCATATTTCTTGTGCAGCTGACGTCTCATCCTTGCTTACTCAGCTCTGAAGGTTTGATTGTGCTCTGTTGTCTCAGGTGTTTGGTTTCCAGGCAGGACTGACATCTTTGACTCACAGTGGATCTTACTGCTTGCCTGTACCAATTATCCCCTCTTTCAGCACTGCCCTGTATGGGAAACTTCTGAAACTCCCTGCTCTCTGGTAAGTAAGGACTGGTTAAACTCTGTGGTTTATGTTCATTTTTATTTTTATAGTTTGTGGATGGGAAAAAAAATCAAACATGTCTATTTTATGCTCAGGTATTAGCTTTTTACAAAACTTTTGAAGACAATTGAAATTATATTTTTATTGAGACCTAATGTTTTAGAATAATCTTTTTGTACGCTGTGAAGAAGTGCCACTCTGATTGGTTTAATAAAAAGCCAAACGGCCAATAGCTAGGCAGGATTTCCAGGCACAGAGGATGCTGGGAAGAAGGCAGAGTTACTAGGAAATGCAGAGGCAGCCAGACATGCTGGAGACAGATAAAGCCATGAGTCAGTGGCAAAACATAGATTAAGAGAAATAGGGTAATTTAAGTTGTAAGAGTTAGTAATAAGCCCGAGCTATTGGCTGAACATTTATAATTAATAAGTTTCCATGTGGTTATTTGGGAACTGTCTGGCAGGAAAGAAAAGTCTGCCTACAACTTAAGAAAATGAAAACCTCTTTTTATTAACGTAATTTTTAAAATTGATTTTTTGGGAATTTCACATCGTGTGCCCCAATCCCACTTATTTCCCTGTCCTTCCATGGCCATCCTTTATCACTGTACCTCTTCCCACAAAAGAAAATTAAAATGAAAATAAAAGAGAGAATAATGACTTCACCCCTATTTTTCCCGCTTCTCCATCACATGCTCATTTGTCATAGTGGCCTTGGGAGCTTCAGTGTGTAACACAGTGGACCCTTTTTGTCCAAAGAGCTTTACTTGCAAATGTTCATTGCACTGAGTTGTTGGTCTGGTTCAGGGCCTCTGGCTTCTGGAGCACCATCAGTACTGGACCCTCACTGAGTTTTCTTTGGGATCCCCTGCTGTTACCTGTTGTCACGGAGTTCCTGTGGCTGTGGTTCCACGGGACCAGTCTCTTCATGTGTTCCAGTAGGTCATAGATGAGGAAGATGTTGGGATTGGGCTAACTCAAAGTCCTGGGTGTGGGCCTGGGTAGTAACTGAGCTGGTCAGTGTTGTCCTCCACCAGGATCATTCCCCTCATGCAATGGTGAGGGCCAAGCCTCCCTCGCCCGTGCCATTGAGGCCAGCTCTTCCACAATAGGACAGGTGAGGAATGGGGCCACTTGCATGGCCACTTCTTCTGTTATGGCAGCTGGCAGTGGAGGGAAGGTTTTGCATTCACCGAGTGTCCTGGGGACAGCTATCCTGTGTCCATGACACTGCACAGCTCTTCTGCTGGGTGAGGGGCCGGCCAGGTCTCCAGTGCGCAGGCCACCCGGGATAGGTGGTTACCCAAGTGTTGGACACCAGCACAGATCCTGGCAGCAGTAGGGCCACTGACTCAGACGTGGCCCTGATGTGTCACTATGGATGTCTTTACTGAAATACTGTGTTCCTTTAATAACGTACATTTGATGGTGAACTTAGTAAGGTGTAGCATGAATAATAAAAACCTAGAAACAGATATTGGGATTCAAACTGAAGAGCAGAAAAGGAAAGCAGCCAGCCTCTGGCTCTTGCCTCTACCTCAGACTGAAGTGGGTGATCCTGCCTTCAGAAATCCTCAGATAGACCCTGAAACTTGTCTCCTCCATTTTAAATTCCTCTCCAGTGCTGGGAGTAATGGCGTGTACCACCACCACTCAGTCTCTTTGGCTGACCAGTGTGGCTGCTGGGATTAAAGGTGTGCTCCACCACTGCCTGGCCTGTATGGCTGACGTGTATCTGCTTTGCCCTCTGATCTTCAGGCAAGCTTTATTTATTAAAACACAAATACTATATCACTGTATTTTCCCCATATTATGTATATCCCCCTTATAGAAGGCTATAAGTAATATAAGAAAAATTATATACAATAAGTATAAGGAAAATTATACACAATAACTACAATATATACAATATACATTGACAGCGTATTTATTTGCATTTGACAAATTCAGAAAAAATAGTATATATCTATCCTATCTTGATGAATTCGAAAGGTTGTACCTAATTCACTTTCTATCCTAATTTGCATTATCAAATTATCTATAATGTCTCTAAACCTTTTACACTTTATACCTCTTTAGTGAGTTTCTTTTCTGAATCTGTTAAAAAAAGGAAAACTATAACTATTTCGTCTTCGGTTACCTCAGAGACCCAAGAAGAAAATACTATTACCTGAGTAAGCAGGAAGTACAAGCAAGCAACTTCCAAAAAATGTGAGAAATGACAGAAACAGCTGGTTGCCTGGACAGTCAACCAAAGTTCCTCTGAAATGTTGAGGCATCCATTTTTAGCCTACAGATCTAGAATATCCAAAAGACTTTTCTCTGAAGCAGGATATTCTAAAGAGCTGTCCCACCTTGTCTTAATGGTGACAGTCACTCTCTTTTGTGTCCTGCTTATCGGGTTAGGACAGCAGACTGTCAGTAGTCGAGTCAAGGGCACTTTCTTGCCCAGTGACTTTCTTTTGCTACAAAGAAAGTAAACTTCTTCTGGAGTTTCTTTGATGTCCATCATCTTCTCTGAAGTAGATTGGTGCTGCCAGGAGCAGACATGTCTCATTGTCGTGAAATAGAGCCTATGTTATTTCAACATCTTATATATCATAGTCTGTAGATATCTTAAGTGTTTAAAGATGACCTGTCTATCTAAAATATATCTTTGTTTGACCTTGAGAACATACCTAATGTGAGTACAAATTCAACTATTATAGGTGACTAATTACTAACCTGCATTTCCTTACTATCCTAAACAATGGGTAATAATAATTTTCAAGGACTATAAATTTGCATTGCATTATTAAATGAGCTGTATAGGCACAATTCCTTGAACAAGATTATAAATGTATGTGTAGTATGTTTTGACAAAATTAATCTCAAATTTATATCAATATACAAAATTTGTATACAATATCTAAAAGTCCAATGTAAAATATTTAAAGCTAGTAGTTGCTTTTTAGAGGTAGATTAAAAACTACTTTTTTATCTATAAATTTTTTAATTCATATTTATATCCTTTTTTCTTCCCAGAGTAGACTTTTACAATCTACCTTTTTATCTTACCATATCTGTATTCCCCTTTTTCTTTCGAAAACAAGAACTGTCTTGTTTTGATGATCTAATATCTAATATCCTTTGTTCAACTTTCCTACTGACTGTAACCAATAATAATTTATAACCAACCTCCCTAAACAATGAAAAATATCCATAACACACTGAATGACCAAAAATTACCTACCCCACCTCATGTGAATGTGGGCGGCATATTCTTAAATTTGCTTCTTGCTTTCTGGGGGTGACGGTATCTTTAGGGATCCTGAAAAGAAAATTTTGGGTTAACTGTTAAGTCCCGAGAGTGGTATCATTTGTTGTCCAGTCTCTGCATAATGGGAAAGCACAGGACTTGTCCCACAGCCTGGCTAGAGCAGTCTGTGTGGCTGGATCATCTCAGGTCACCACGATTGTTCTGAGCCACGTGTAGTCTAGTTGTAGTGAAGCAGATCTTTAGGTGGTATGTTTTAGCCTTAGTGGTGTTAACATAGTCCTGGAGGAATCCTCATTGTGAGGCCCCATCTTCCTTCTGGAGATGTCAAAGTCGCTGTAAGGCGTGGTCATGGTACACTGCTGAAAACTGATAGAGACTCAAACCAAAATCATGTATAGAAAGATATAATGAAGCATTTTCTCAATTTAGTTAGTATTTTATGTGACCATTAATGTCATAACCAAAAGTTTAGAATATATATTAATCTTATAAATTTTATCCCCTAAGAAAAGCTGTTAAAGAGCCAATATAAAACCATTGGATTATGAGATTAGTGGCAATAAAGTAGTCCTTAAATGTTTGTTTTTCTTCTGTCCCATATAAGGTGGCTCTTCTCATGAGACAGAGATTTTGAATTACACTTTAATAAGCATGCTTAGGTTTAGAGAAGGAGAGAGCCACACTAGAACTCCAAAGTCAGCTTTAATCTCTAACTGGATTGGGACTGCACAATGACTGTTTGCCTTATATGTCTGTAGAGAACAGCAAAAACAAGCATTTGGCAAGATTTATGAAATTTTTCCTGTTGTAAATGTGATATACCAATAGGCCAATTTACTCTTTTTTTTGAGACTTTTTTTTTCTGAATGATTTGTTCTTTTTTTATAGATGTCTCATTTGTCCAGTGGTCTTAGGATTCCTTAGATTTCTTCATTCTCCTGAAAAGACAGAAACAGAACTCTTCCCTAACCTTAATTTTGGGGAGGTTGTCTTTTGGCAAGTTATTTCTGATCAAATGAAAAGCATTTGCTAGTTTTATAGGTTAGTTTGAATTAAACAGCTATGATGTTTGATGAACTATTATCATCTTTTCTAATTAAGAGGTGTCTCTTGTTCAAATCAAATCTTTATTAATTTTGATCCATAATTTTTTTTTCTGTGGAAACAAAAGCAAAACCCCTCCCCACCATTAACACATGTCCTGGTTTCCATTCTGAGGTCAGTACATCTTTAAAGTACATGGTCTGATTTAACGCCATAGTTTTTCTACCATCCCATGTCTCTCCATAGCTGTTGTTCCTTTCTTATTAGCATTTAGAAAAGTCAAAGTTAATAAAGCATTTGGTAGTCTGTTTATGGGTGTCTTTATTATTCCATTCTGTTCATTTAAATATCTTTTATTGTTTGATTTGATCTTTCTATAATTGCCTGGCCTGTAGGATGGTGTGGTATACCTGTAATATGCTTTGTATTATAATAAGTAAAAAACTGTTGAATTTTCTTAGAGGCATGTAGTAAGAAGGAGTGGGCCGCATCCCGCCGCATGGCTAGCTTAACCCCAAAATAACCACACAGAAATTAATACAATTAAATTACTGCCTGGTACATTATCTATAGCCTCTTATTGGCTAACTCTCATATCTTGAATTAACCCATTTTCAATAATCTTTATTTCACCATGAGGTTGTGGCTTACCAGGAAAGATTCAGCGTCTCTGACCTGGTGACTTCATGGCAGCT